AAAAAGGAAAGGAAAGGAAAGGAAAGGAAAGGAAAGGAAAGGAAAGGAAAGGAAAGGAAAGGAAAGGAAAGGAAAAAAAGGAAAGGAAAGGAAAGGAAAGGAAAGGAAGGAAAGGAAAGGAAAGGAAAGGAAAGGAAAGGAAAGGAAAGGAAAGGAAAGGAAAGGAAAGGAAAGGAAAGGAAAGGAAAGGAAAGGAAAGGAAAGAGGAAAGGTGGAGCACAGTTAAAAACAACTGCAGGAAGGGAAAAAAATGCAGTAAGTTGTTCTGTTTAGTGGATCACTGGACCATATGGGGAATAAAAATATGAACAAAAAGTTGTAGAGATGTAAAAATAGTTATTGTACAGCTGAGTTATATAAAATAATAAGTTGTGAAGGCATATCATCCTGTGAAGGAGCCTGTACATGTTGCTTAACCCTTTGGACTGGGGAATGGTGGCCAAAAAAATGTTTGGAGCAGCTGAAATGTATTGGCAGGACAAACAGGAATGGTGAGAATGGCCAGAGAATGGTCAAAGAATGGTTGAGAAAACATGAATTGGAGGCAAAGAAGACATAGAATAAGAATACTCCAATATAATAGAATCATAGAATGGTTAGGGTTGGAAAGAAGCTTAAGATCATCTACTTCCAACCATGGGTAGGTTCCTGCCATGGGTGGGGTACTGAGTTACAAAATGGGTTTAAACCACAACATTCCGTTAACTTCAGGAGTGTCTCATCCACGTCATAACAGCATTTGTGTGGAAATGCCTTATGAAGTGCACATACATTGCCTATGAATATAAAGGTGAAACTAATTTGCATCAGAGGAATTTTGCACTTTTCAGAAGAAATGGAGTTTTATTACAAATGATATTTGGACTCTAAATTGTTGCATATAGGAGTTGCTACCACCAGCTAGAAAATAAATTTGAGAGTAAAATTACTTTATCCATGTCTATTCAAAATTATTTCATACGTGTTTATCCATGGAGCAGCTATATCTGATACTTACTGTGTGTAAATAATGCTGAAAATAAGGAAAAAAACAGTCCAGTGAAGGGCTGCAAAATATTTAGTGTATTTGTTCTAAACAAGCAAATGTAGCTGCAGTATTTGCATACATAACCAGGTACATTTTGATGCTTTGAAAAACACATTTACAGTGTTTATGAAACTTTTAAGTTTGCTATCAGAAAGAAAACAAAGGTACAGCAGCTTCTGATGAACTTAATGGAGCATACAAATTTTACATTATGTTACTTCTAATAAGTAGTTTGTTTAGTTTATTGAGGAACATTTAAGGATAGAGGAAATTAATAAGTATGAAGTACAGCTGGTATATTAAAAGGGAACCTACATGACAACTGCCAAATACCCTGCAGCAAAAAGGTTTAATAAAACAAATAGAAAAAGCACCAGGATGCTTTCTTTATTGCAGCATTACCAAAGTGTAATAAAGAAACCAAACATACAACAAACAAAGCAAACCAAAATACTGATCTTACATTATTGGACTGTTAATAAATCATACTGTTGGCCCGCTGTTAAATGTAAATGGATTTGTGAGCAGTAATTAACAAATATGAAAAATCATCTAAAATAGTTGGTGTAGATCTGATTGAAGATAATGCCTTCCAGGAAGTAATCACTGCAAAACAATGGGGAAAAAATCAAACTAATTTGATGGCCTATTTGATGCAGCTGGTGGGAAACCTAAAGAACTTCACTACTCTGTGAAAGCTTCACCACCACCAATAAACTGGGTGTGAATTCTGGGTGATGGCTTCTGATCAGTCCAGTACTATTCCCTGCATTATTAAGGGCCTGATCCAGGTGAAAGTAGCCTCCATGGCTGCCCCCCCACGCTGAATTAAAAAAGAAAATAAACTCCATGAACCACTTGGGACCTGCAGCTACAGAAGCTTCTTGTGACTCCAAGAGCAGTATTTCCCCATGTGACCACAAAATGCTGTATGGAGAATGGTCACCAGCTCAGATGCAGAGCCCGAGTCTGCTCATTTGATTGTCAGACTGTATGTGGAACACAGGCTTTTTGGAGGGCTACTACGAGACTACGCTGCATGTATTCAGGGAAAGCTGAGACTTTCTAACATAGTTATGCTTTGTGCAGTCACACAATAAATGAGTAGCAGAGGTCAGAATAGAATTCTCTGAGTCCTGCCTCCTAATACAATTTTTCAATCAGTAAAATAAAGTAAAAAAAACCAAACCTCTTTATAGGTACTGGCCACATCCATTTGTGTTGTGGTATTACTCCAGCATCCCATGGTTTCAGGAAATCTTGTGATCCATGGACACAGGCACAGTTGTGTAGTTTATAAATTTAAAAATTTTCTTGATGTTCTGTGCTTTCCAGGATTTTAAACCAATTCAAATGCTTTCCCACAAATATCTCTGCCTGAGACTTTAACAGAATGCTCACATCTACAGGTTTGGCTATTAAAGATACATTTCTGTGTTAAAGAAAGTTGTCTTCCTTATTAAAATTGACAGCCAGGTCCATGTGTTCCATAAAATAATGGAAAGGGTAACTGTGAACAATGCTGCAATGGATCCCAGAGTTCTCATAACCCTTTGGAGTGTGCTTTCGTAGTAAATTCACAGGAACCTTTCAAAGAATATTGCTTTGCAGTTCATTCTTACCTCTCACAGTGAGTGGAAAAAACATACAAAACCAAATTCTGACCACATTTGCTTATACAGGATTCCAAATATGTGCAATAAATTTCTTACCACTTTGAGAGGAAAAAAAAACCCAGCTTTTCTGTCAAGATGGTTCAGGAGCTCGTATTCAGTATGCCTTAGTATTTCTTGTGTTGAGTGGTGCATTCTCAGTCTCTTGGTGTACCAACAATGCCCAGTAGTGCCAGCACAAGGGCTGCTTTACCCTGTCAGTGCCAAATCACTCACTGACACCCTGTATGGCTGTAACCAGTCTCTGGGCAGTGAGTACACCATGCCATGACTTGTGGCAGTCTGCCAACGCAAAGAAGCCCCCAGAGATTAAAGATTCCTGAGGGAGTCAGTTGAGCAATGTCTTGAGATGCAGGCTAGCTTCAAACTGACCAAATGGCTCCTCACAAAAGATGGTTGCAATCACGGAAGAGTGTTAAGGTATATCACTATCTTGAATATAAAAGGCAGGTTGTCAGAATAAGGGAGACCCAAGTTTATGAGACTGAAAAGATCCAAACATACTTTTCCCAACAGGCAGAGAGAGTTTTCTCACTATGACACTCAAAGTAAGGAGGTCAGAACCATTCTCCACTGTTGGATTGTGGAGAAAACAACGTAAAATGATCAGTCTTGAGTCAATAGCGCAGATATGAGAAAGTGTCTACTGTCCACTGGATCTGTTACCTGCAATGGAGAGAATCTCTTCCAATGTCTTTTTTTCACAATTCACATTAACTAGTGATTGGATAAAAAATGATAGAGCTTTAAAAGACTAGGACCTGCTCTATTTGTCAAGAAAATCTTTTGTACAGTGAAAGTCCCACATAGATGTGAACAATTATATACAGGTATAAGAGGGGTAGGGCCCATCCCTGTCCTTAGAACAGATTTCTTCTTCTCCCTATATTTTCTGTACCACTCTGGGTTCAGATATCCATTTTAGAGACCAGGGACCCCAAGGCTTTTTCTTGGATGTGGCTCCAAATACCTTTAAAAATACTATTTCATGTATTGTGCACTTCTGCTGTAGTCCATTTATTCTTCTCTGCCTTCTACTTTACTGTTTCTTCTTTCCTCAGAAGCTAAGCTTAAATTCTTCTTCTCATCTAATGTGGAAGGTCATCTAATGCTGTTAATAGAGGCTTTGCAAGAAGGGTGCAGCATTTTTTCTTGGTAAGGGAAAAAAACTGCTGTCCATCCTACTTATCAATCTGTGATTCCTGCCAATTACTTTTTCAGGACACTATGCAAACATGGTAAATTGGCTAATCTCACTATCATCCAACTGGCCTTTCGTACACTTAATTAACAATAGAACAAACCTAAGATTTCACTCATGGATACACCCTTTGTGTTAGCCTAGAAACCTGAATCCTAGATCTTTTCATTTGAAGATCTTGGATTCATCATATAGGGCATTGTTGTGACAGGTTATGACAAAAAAAAAAGAAAGTTATAAGACCATAAGGAATTAGTGATAGTGTCCTGAATTTTTCCAAATATGAGTGATTAATCCTGTAGCCAGTCTAAAGCTGACAGCTCAACAGTTCATTTGAACATGCACACATCTAATCTATATATAATTAAAATATCTTAGCACTTTAACACTTTGGGTAAGAATATTTTTTATTGTCTGCATCATCAACTTCATATGCTGTGCTTGTATTGGCTCTGGCAGACAAAGTGAAAGTAGATTCCAGCATCACTTGGAACTGCAGCTGCTGCAGAAAGTTATGTCTCTCCTCCTGTGTCATTTCTTAAGCATGAGCTTCAGGACAATATTAAAAGCAGTATATTTCAACAGAGGAGCCATACGTGATACAAAAGGACAAATATGTTTTTGTCTGAAATTTGAACAGTATTACTTCCATGTTGTCAGCTATACTTGGCTTTTCTTCTGAGGGTTCATAGAGCATTTTCCTGTGAATAATGGTACTATTTTACTTAGACTTTCTTTCCAGTCTACCGTTCTTTTAAGCCTGCTTATTCTGAAATAGCCTTTCCCCAGGCTTGGCAATTTTAAGCAAAGGCAGTCAGGTGAAGATGGTACTGCCAGCTACTGCTTCCACCATGCACACACCTGATTTTGTCTCTAAGCCATTTCGATTACACTTGAAACAGATCTATGGTCTCCTTCTGCTTCCCGACCTTTTTTGAGAAGAGAGGTATGGATGTTCCTTTTTCTCCCCAGTATGGGAAGAATTCAGCTTATGTTTGTCCTCATCTTCATTAAGTGCTAGCAGGTCCAGAAATCTCTTCAGTTTCCCTATCGCAGATCTCTGCCTAAGATGCTGAATTAACTGCTGCCCAAAAGAAAATTACACTTACCTTTACTATTTATTATTGCCATACATGACCTTTTGTACATTTTCATGCAGCTTTTTTGCTTTTCATCATTGTTCTGCTGTTGGCTTTTAGTTGTTTTTCTTTGCTGCTGATACTGTCTGGGATAAATCCATTTCCTCCAGTGCCAGTGACCAGATTTCTTCTCTGTAATCTCTCAGCTGAGATTTCCAATACATTTACTTCCCACAAAAACAGCTGCTAAATTCCTTACTCTCTTCTTTCAGTGGGAAATTATCCTCCACCATCTTAGATAATCAAGATCCTGTTGCAGTCCAGACATATTAAAACTTAGCGATTTATTGTAGCCATTGCTATGCGATTATAGTATTTTAGCAGCTAGTGCATTTCTTTTGTGCATAAACTGTTAAATATAACAAAGGCTTATTGTGTTCAATGTGGGAAAGCAAATAATTTTTAAAATGTGATTAATTGTGTAAGTATGGACCTTTTAAGTACATGTGGTAAGCCCTATACTATGGGAATGGCACTTACTGCTCTCTCAGCATGAGTCTGACGAAGTAAACAAAAAAGTTAAAATACAGCCGATAGTCTCCCTGGCATTCATTAACATAGCATAGAAAGCAGAAACTAGCCACATTTTATATAGAAAGGCTCTAGAAATCTGTGTCTACTTACATCAACATTAGTCAATTGGTGGGTGCCAACTATGCACATAACATGTTTTATTTATAGGTCTGTATAGTAGTCAAAAACATTCTATCACGGAAATGTGTTATTCATTAATTCATATTTTGCTCAGCCTTACTTTACTTCTTGAACCCATCCAGGTGTTTTTTAAACGATGAGGGTAATTTAATACTAAACAGAATTCACATTCACCCTATTTTTCAATTCCGTGTAACTAAATAGTCCTCCTGATTTTGTCTATTATTTACCTTTAATTAGCTCACATATACTGTAAACTAGAGTTTGCCTGTGTTTTTATGACAAAATTCCACACAATGGTGAAAAAGAAAGGTGGAATAAGTGGTCAAGTTACTGAACAGAGCATTTAACATTAACGTTTTCTCAAATATCCATTTTTCATATCAACTGGAACGGTAAATAGTGCTATAGATATATGCTCTGGTGCCTAAGTTGTTTTTAAAGTGTTCATTTAAAATGTTTAAAATGTTCATTTTAGCCTACTGTTGCAAACCTCTGTATGAGATCTAGTCACACATTGCAGAACATAGATCATATCAAATGACCTCAACAAATCCAGCAACATGCAATGTATATGTGTTTTTACTAAAGCAGCTTTATAGGTTTCCATGACTTAACCTATGAGGTTTAAGGCGGTTTAAGGAGGAAAAACAAAACCCTTTTCTTGTTGGTTTTTTTTATCTTATATATGAATGTGAACTCTACATAATATAATTTTAATCATGAGGAAAAATTAAAGTTAAACCAGGAACAATATATCAACACTAAAATGCTGTCAATTATTGCTTATTACCATATTTGTTGTGTGAATCAGACATATAGGTCATTTATGAATAGCCATAAAGCAACTTCTTCCATTTGCAAATCACACAACATTTGCCATTCAGTGATGTATGTAAATGCTGGTGTCAAAGCTGGTTCTAAAACACCACCACTGCAGAGAGAGAGAGAGAGAGAGAAATCTTACTGCCATTAAGACACACACGCCTTCAGCCTCTGAAGAAAAATAACAGTTAAGCCAGCAGTAACTTTTTATAATTAGAATTGATCAAAGAGAAAATGCCAACATTATAAATGGTTTCTGTTGGAGTGCAGAGTGTTAAAACAAGGTAAAAGGCTTTTGAGGAAAATACTCAAACTTTTGCTAACATCCTTGAAATAAAAAATATTTTTAAGCCTTTCTTGCAGGGTAAGACAATAATTTTCTGTTAGATGTTTTTGTTTTATTTTCTTTTTGAATTTAATTTATTTAGTTTATTTATTTTCTTTTTCTAAACTAATGACCACACCATCACATGACTTCTGCGTGCTTCAGTTCTCAGATACAGATTGAGCAATTATGTTTTTCCTATACTATGGAAACTATAAATTTTCAGTCACTTACAATATCTTTCCTGAGGTTCACAACCCCAGATAAGCATGACCAGTTTTGTGGAATAGTAAATTTTAGAAGGGTTTTAGCTGTAGTAACATTTCTTGATGTTCTCTGCTGTCTTTCCAGAAGCATTTCAGAGGAGGCAACCAGACATTTGGAAGGATAACCAGAACAAGTTTAGTTCTGCAAAATCCTGCTTAAAAACTTGAATATTGTGTTTCACAGTTTGACTTTTAGAGGTCTCCAACAGAGGTGTCACCTGTCTGTCTCATTTCTTATATGATTCTTAAGGCAAAGCATAATTAAAAAATCAGGTGAGTTTAACATTTTCTATTTGATCAGTCTGTAGGGGATTTAAGGGCTCATCTCTTCGACTTACCCAGCTGTGGCAGCATTCATGTTGCAGTGACTCTGCTCTTTATCTCAAAGTTTTTTGATAGGAAGATTGCAGTTGCTCATGTATTTGGAAGAGTAAAGACAAAATCAGGGCCGCATCCCACAAAATGAGGCTAGGTTAAGTCTGAAGGACCTATTGATCAGACTGAGGGACAGCTGAAGAAATCTGAGTGTTTAGATAGAAACATTGCCTTGGGTGAAACTTTCTTATTATAAATGGTACCCCTGACTTTATCAGCTGCCTGAAGTCCAGAATAAAGGACCCTCTGCTACTCCAGTGAAAAGCAGCTTTTATTTAACAGTGTTTCCCTATAAATAATAGCTGTAGTAGTCATTTGCCAAACACTGACTTTGCTAGTCATGAAAAGCCTTTGGGTCTAGCATACAATTTAGGCAGAGATTAGGTTTCCATGTCCAAAGCAAACAACTTTAATCATTACACATCCCAGATTTTGCTATTATTCATGTCTACATGCATCTTAACCTTACTCAAATTGAGCCTATCTCTAAAATAGTTTAGGCCATCTGGAAGTCCCTTGAGGGGCCTTGTGTCTTACACATTGGCAGAGGAATCCCAAAACACTTTGTCAGCAGCAACAAGTTTAGCACAAAGCAGAGCACCAGAACCACTTTCACTAAATAAAGTAATTTTAAAGAACAGTAACTCTTCACTGTTTGCATGATTAGTGACCACTAGTTAGTGATTAAAGCACTTTGTCAGGAAGTTGGAGACTTGATTTCAGCTCCCTTACTCAGCCCAGGACATCCAGACTTCCTTCTCTCAGGAAAAAGGGAAAGCCATGCCTGCAGTGTTAAAAACCTTAATAGCCCTGGTGCAGAAGTTGTGCCAAAGAAAATGCGAGCTAAAACGAAAACCGAGAGCAAACACAGCCCTGTTAGGGCATATTGTTATAATAGGAGCTACCTGCTCACAGTCACCCTTGTCTTTAAAGAGTGTTATTTCTTGAGGCAAGTTTTGAAAGGGAAGATACCTCTGCTTGCTGCTGAGGCTATTGTTGTTCCAAGACCACAGTGTTTAGTTTAGACAATTCCTAACACTGAACTCATATCTAGGATTTGCACCATTGATTCCTCCTCCAGTAGAAGCATGGTCTTAAACATATGAAAAAGTACAAAAAAGTGTTTTTTTTTTGCACAGAAAGAACTGAGAAAAATACAATATTTCTTCTGTCTCTGGTTACATGATGTATATATGTTTGAGTGTGATAGACCAAGGCAAAAAAGCCTCATAATACTATGGCTATCTCCAGTATTTTTCTGACAGGTGTTTAATACACAATTACCAAATGGAAGTCCTTCAAGATACATGTGTAATCACTTGATTTTAGATCAAAACAGCGTTCATTTTCTCATATTGCCTTTAGATATCCTTTTGTGAAGTCAGCCATATAAAATGAATATGGTGATAAAGAAGTGGATGAGTCTTCCAGAAGCCAATCAAACCCTGTCTTCAACACAATGATGATTCATGTACACAGAGAACATCCATATAAGCCAGTTACACTGCTCTATGTTTTGCCTGATGTTCCTTGATAATGTTTTCTAGCAATGATGAATTGTCCATAACATACGTGTAAACAGCTAAGCTGCAGGTGTTTTTCAGGCTCTACCAATGAGAGGCTAAGGACTCGCCCTATTCAGTTTCTGATTGTTTACAATGTCCTGCTGTGCCTGCAATATGCTTGAATTGTACTTAAAACACATAAATCTACCTTCAAAGGCAGCTTGGGAGGCAGAAGTGTGGCTAGGGAGTTTTAAATGGAAGGGACAAGCAATGGCTACAAAGAGCTCAGTTTTTAGTACTAGGTGTTGCAGTTTGTTCTAATTATAGCACACACTAGAGTGTGAAATGTTCATGCCAATCTAGTAAAAAGAAAAAGTACACGCAATGCTGAAATTAACACCTTTGTAATTACAGACAAGCTCTTTTACTACTACCCAGCAAGTGCAGCAGAGGCAGGTTTGGAGGAATACAAGAATATCAGGTTGTGCAATAGGAAATGTGACATTTTTTTTCAGTTTAACTTGATAATTGGAACCTTCCTTGGCAGCCAGATAAAATCACTTGCATTTCTGAGCAGAAGAATTTGTACTACTTCTATATTTACCTAACTGAAAACCAGACAAAAAGGATTTTTTTTTGCAATTAAATGATTTGCATTCCGTTTCTTTCCCTCATGTACCATTATCATCACAAAACTATACATTTGGCATTCTTCAACATAATTTATAGCTCTTTTAGCAAATCAGGCCAGTAACTGGCCATCACAGAGGCAAACATGCCTTTCATTTGCATTGAGTGAGTTGTCTCAGATTCATGGCAAAATGAATAGCTGGATATCCCCCAATAATCCCAGTCTCTTGTTATTCACACACATTTTTAGTGACTCATCCAGGAAAATATCACTGAGTGTGTCTTTTAATTTTATTCATGTTTCCACTATAACCCTGCAGAGGCTTCTTAGTGCTTGTAAGATTATTTTAGTTAGCTTTGCTTGCCAAACAGATCTTTCTCCACTTTATTATATCATCATTATTATTTCTACTATATAGGAAGTATATTGCCACATATCATATATCAAAACATTACTAATGCCATTAAGACAGTGCCAAAATGAGTCACATGATGTACATGAAAAGGCAGCTCAGTTCTTTGGAAAGCCTTGAACATTAGCTGATCAGTTCCTGTGGAGCTAGTCTTGTATGTGGATGACAAAGCCAGAAACAGACATCCTGTCCAGGACAGAAGAGGGAACCTCTCTCTTCTGAAATAAAGGCTGGGAAGCAGAGGCACCACCTTGTAGCTGAACACCTTTTGAAAAAACAGCACACTATCAAGCAAATGCTTTTTAGATTTTGTTAATGTTGGAATAGATCCTTCCATGGAAGACATCATTTGACAAGATTTAAAAAACTTGCTGAAGAAATCTTTTGACATAATTGTAATTTTTTGTTTGCATAGATGTTTTTACATAAAAAGGAGAAAAATGGCGTCATGCAATTATTTCTCAAATGACAGAAATGAGGCCACAGGCAACACTTATGTTGGCATTTCCTAACCACTTAAACCTTGCCTCTGCAACCTCATAATCCATTTGACAACATATTTTCCTGAAGTATAATGAGAAATCTCACTACAACACACCCTATTCTCCCTCTAGGTCTCTCAAGTCCAGCTGTTCCCATGTGCTTGCACAGGTAACTGAGCACACTACAGTTATGATCTTTACAGCTGACTTGTTTTTCTGGGGGGGAGGGAGCTGAAAGCAAAATACTGAAACAATTAAAAAACTTTAAATTTTATCCTTTTTTAATCTAGTTTATTTTTTTCTGGTAATTATCATATACTGCGTATTAAACAAGCAATGGGTACACAGGTTTTTGTAATGGCTATCACTATAGCCCAACTATAATTAACTCAGGAAGAATTAGTGTTTGGTCTTTCTTTACTGGAGTCAGTGTTGCTTTTCATTGGTATATCTTAGCAGAAAATATAGTGTATCTAGTCACCATAGAAACACATTCCCCATCTGCTGTATTATCACATTTTTTCCCCTTGACTTCTGTAGATTGCAGTCCTCTATACTATGTTGTCAAGATATGTAGGGGCCAATTTCCTCCCCATCTAAAAGGAGTTATGACAGACATGAAAGCAGCCCTGTTTCTTAACTCTTGGAATTCCACAGCTTTTCACGTACACAAGATTTTCAGCATTATACTTGCAAACCAGCTCCTTCTTTTCCAGACTTTCAAGCAATATTGCTTTTTAAGGAAAAAAATGTGGTTTCTCTTTGCAAAAGTTTATGCCCCATTATGCATCATGAGCTCCCCTCTGACCAAGCCATATGGCTCATCATTACAGTCACATGCTGCGGTGCAAAGGGAAAAAGTTTGCCAAGAAGCCTAGCCCATATGAAAGATGGGAACCAGGGGGCACTACTGAAATTCCCATGAGGCACAATAGGCCAAGGCAGATTAATGTTAAACTGACTTGAAACACAGTGTTTGGGTTCAGTTCAAGAAAATAAACCACTTTGATTTAGTAAGTCAAAACTATACATAGACATTTCCAAATTGAATTATTTTGGAACATTTCATTCCAAGAAAAAAAATGTGATATTTCAACTTTTTGTTCCTTTTTAGAAGGAAAATCATGCTGAAATACTGTTGTGTTTTTTTTTCCTATGGGATATTTTCTGTTCACAATGAGGAAAAAATAGCTTATACAAAGCAACAAAATTATTCAAAGTCAATAATATCTGTGTATTGTGTTCACTGCCTTTGCTGCCAGTATTTTTCAACTTGTAATGAGTATTAACACACATGCATAAGAATGAGACGAAAACATTTCTAGTTTTCTGAGTTACTGGAGCACAAAAAAGACTTATGTCAACTAGATAATTTGAATTTTAAAATAAAAAAATAAGAATTTTTTATCTAGAGACACAGCATAACTACAGGACTAAATTCACTTGTTTAGACTTCTGGTTTTGATTGAGACAAGTTCTGGTCTGCTACTTCTAAAGGAAATCAAGACAGGTTTAATAGTTCACTGGGTTTAGGAATATGGAAATACTGGCCTAAATTTTCTGTGTTTTAAAATCAGCCTCTGTTATCACATGTAATCATACCATGTATTTTTTGCATGAGTTAATGAGGCTTGATCTTAAAATTATTTAGCTTTTGCTCCTACTAACCCTGATTGGATAGTAACCTTTTTCTGCTACAAAACACTTAGCAGAAAGTCGCAATTTATTCATGACTAGTACTCACAAAATATTATTGTAATATATTCCCTCACCAAAATATTTTTCTCTGGTATTCCCCTTCCGGATAAATGAAGTTTCCAGCACTTGATATCCCCGAGATTTTTTGTCCATCTAATATCTATTTAATTCTACTTTCATGCCCTCTTTCCCATTCAGATGTTCTGCTCTCTCCTCAATGTTCAGCACTACTTAGAGCAAAAACCTGAAGAAGCAGTCAGTCGGTTGTGCACCAGGTCTTCATTATATTTGATCTCTCTGCTCCATCTTTTTGCCTCTCTGCTTTTGTGTTGCTGAATGTTTTGCTATGTGCTGGATGGGAGGAGGACCTGCTGAAATGAGGGACAGTCCTTTGCAGGCTTAGGTTCCTTAAGGGTTCCTCAATGATCTTCCCAATTTGCTCTGACTTGGAGACTTACTGACAAGGCTCATGGTGACTTAAACTAAATTCATCTTTAGGCTTTTCCTCAGGGCTGGCTGCCTCTCAGAGTTGTATCTCAGACTGCCTGAACATGTGCCAGAGTCTCTCCCATTTATTCGACATCCAGGTGCGATAAAGAGTTGCTTTCACCAGCAAAACACACTTAAGCTTCTCAGTTGTAATAATTTTAATACTATTAATCAGGTTAACTCCTGGCAGGCTTTTCTTCCAAATGCAAGTATCTCTATGGAAACACAGAACTGCATGGAAAACTGAATATTGAACACACATAGTAAAAAATCATTTAAAACGTTATTGAGGCAAATTCATTATTCCTATACAGAGAAGTTATTCATTGGTAAATTCATATAATTGACAAAGATAACATTTGCAAGACCACTCAAAAGTCTTGGATAGTTATGTTTTCCGAACTTTTAAAAGGATTGAACAACTTTGGCATGTTATTCAAAAGTGCCTGTCACCTAGTTTGCATCAGGAGTGCACTTTTGAAGCAGATTTATCTCTACTCAACAGGGCTTCAGTTCACAGCATGAAATGGTCTGAGAATGCACAGAACTAGATCCTGAAACTGGAAACCAACAGATGTGTCCTACGAGTGCCCATAACTGATCTTCAGCAGCTAGCAGGGATTTGTCCCTAGGATCAGGCTAACATGAGCTAGAGTGACATGTACTGTACATGTTGCGTCCTCAGCACCAGCTCCTATCAGGGGACATTAGTTGCTAATGAAGACTGTGTCACACTCTCTTGTTGTGTGCTTTGCTATCTTACACACACTTGTGCATTCTTAAACTTAATTCTGATCAAATAGCGTTCTAAGTGAAGGAATAACCACTTCTCTTCCATTTTGAAACCTTGGGCAAAACCCAGTATTTTCTTTTTTGGCCCAGTTTTTCCAAAACAAAACAAATGTGGACGACTATTAGAATTATGTGTTATACAGCCCCAAAAGAGTGGATAAAGCTCTTTCAAGATCATGAATATTTAACTTATTCATACGTATTTGTTCATACAGCATTTAGTTCCAATCATAACATTAAGACTTTTTGCATTTTGTGTGCCTGTTAAAATTGGAATATAATCTTTACTTGGGGTAGAAGTTAAGTCGAAATATCAGAGCAGAAAGGGATATGGGAAGGCAAAATTAGTTGGTTGTCAAAAGCATTGGATCATCTCACCTGTCCAAATTTGTGCTTGTTGAAAGGTTTATCCTAAAAGCTGCTGTTCGGTTTTAAGCCTCTTTGAAGTAAATTAAGAGCTGCCGTTAGCAGGATCATAGTGCTCAGGCTCTTATTGTTGAGTAGCAGATTCCCTATTGCCTATGTGTATTGCAATTATCCCTGTTTCTATAATTATACTATGCAATCATCAGCTGTCCAGGACAAGATCCTTATTAGGTTAATAGCAGAACTTAAAGGGGTCAAGGTGCCCTTTTGGCATGTTTCACATACCCTGTGCTTTTGTGGAAAAACAAAATCACTAAAAAAATTTATATATCCAGTGATAATTAAACAGCCTCCCCAAAGTCTGTGATGTTCAGATTATAGCTGTAGTATAGACATTACTTTTAATCCTACTTTAATCCTGCTGTTTTTTTTTCCTGTGCTTTTTTTTTTGCTACTGATAGCAATGTTACTACTTTCAGTCATAATTTGGAATAAGTTATTAAACTTACACTGCAAATGCAACTTCAGTGTAGAACTCTCACAAATAATGTGAAGAGAAGCAGTTCATCCAGCCACAAGCTCTTGAATACTTCTGTCTATAACATTTTAAATGGTTAAATTAATTAAGCATTAACTGCACTCCAGATTATGATGCTGGTGGAGATAAACTATGCTTTATACAATGCGAAGACTTTAGGTTTTTCCTGCACCAAAACATCACAGCTCTTACACCATGTATATGAGATATGAAATTCAGGATTTTTTGTTTTCTAAGTTTAAAATGTTAAGTTTGCACATTGTTTTTATAAAACAGAGCAATCAGAAATATGAGGGGTTGTCAAGAGGAAGAAAATTTTGATAACTTCTAGTGAATGAAATTACTTTCTCAGTTATGACTTTTTAAAATAGATGTGTCAAATATTATCGAGTGAAGCTTTTCCTGATACTTACACAGTGTTCTTTTACCCATGCTGCAAATACAAAATCAGAAAGGTAAACATTTGCATTCCAATAAAGGCAGTTATTCAGTCTAAGTAATATAATCAGTGGAAAAGCATACCATTGTCTATATTGTTTTCTTCTTTTTCTGCAGGTTTATTTTTTTTTTCACACTATTTTTCTTCATTACAGAAATATCTGTAAAATATATATTTCTATGGTAAAAGCTGTTTGGGAGATTGTTGTCAGAATAATTAGACAGAAAAAGGACTTCAGCAAAATGGAAGTTTTTCCAAAGGAAATCTAAAGTGCCATTAGAAACATTCCTACTTGCAAAATCAAAATTAAATACCTTTTTGGGTAGATTTCATTTGAAGTAAAATAGTTTGGTTTGCTGGAAAAATCCCTATTTCTTATTTTAAAGTCAGTTCTGCATTAAATTTCACTTACCCAGAGCTTAGAGTATCTCACAGGACTTGTAGAAATGGCAGCAGAAGTTTTTCTGTTCCTTCTCTGTAAAACAGATAGGTAGACCAGAAAAAACACTCTCATGCTCATGGTATTCAAATGTCTTCCCAAAGGCTTCATAAGCCATGACGTTTCTCCTCATTCAGGTAGTGCACAAGTGTACTGCCAAATCTGCCTGCATAGGTCTTAAAAACCGCAGACTGCTGCTAGTTTTAAAAAAAGATATGTAACTGGTGAGTATTCTGACCCATGGCCTGCTTCTGGCTTGATGGATGTCTCACTTTTATGTCAGCGTTCTAACACATATGATTGACATCCCTGCTCATTGCTTTGACTTAGTGATCCAGGTGTGCTGCAAGAGGTTGTTGGGATATAATACCAATTTTCTAGTAGCAGGCTATGTGCACTCAACTGCTGAAACTCATGCACATATGTTTTTTCAGAATATATAAAAATGTGCGTATTTCTATGGATTTATGATGATGGAATTTTAAAGATTTTTCCTTTGGACCAAAACTAGGGAACGCAGAGGTGTCCAAATATAATGAGGAAACTTGCATCTTCAAATACACCAATAGAGAAATGAAATTAACTCTTTCCATTTATTTTAGGTTCCAGTTCTGCTCCAAAGGATACTATCTTAATTACATGAAGCAATTCCAGTGACAAGTGAGTTATAAAAAATAATTGCTTCAGTCACCCCTGTAAGTAAATTATTGTTAAAGACAACAGTTCACAACAAGACAAGCAACTGAAATTTTCAAATGAGATTTCTGGACTTAGCAGAGTTGGTATGATGAATGCCTTTCCTCTTAGGAAAGTGCCAAATGTCGAGGGAGTCCCAAATAACTGGAAATGAATTCTGAACACCAGTCTGACATCTTATTTAAAAATTGGCATCATCATTATAATGTCTACGGTCTTTCATGTCCTTCTGGGAAACAGTCTTCCACCAGAAATGTCAGCATAATTTATGTGTCTTTTTCCAACCTCTAATAGAACTGTATCAGCTGTTAGACTTGACATTGATACTTACCAGAAAACAGGTTAATATTGCCATTTGTTTTGTAAGACACACAAAAATTGTACAAAAATATTTTGTTGTTTTATACTGAAACTCTTTCACTTGTTCCAAAGTGGTTTTCTTAAGTGTGCATCTCAGAAAAGAAAAGAAAAATCACAATAAAAATTGTGATTTTTTTTTTTTTGAGGTTGCTTAATAAATATGTATTAAATTAATTTTCATAAGTGTAATCTCTTATCATGAAAGATTATCTTAATAACTAGATTTGAATGTAGTTCTTTTTTTTATTTAGTAAATTGGACTTCTAATGGCATATTTTAATTTGTACAAAAAAATTAGACTCTACTGCCATGAACAAAACAAGAGTGTGACAAGCTCCACAATGAAATACATGCAGTGCTATCCAAAATCCAACATTAAAAAATAGGACAAAATATTATGTAGCTGCCCATTATGTCATAATGTCTCATTTTCCCTCAACTATTAAAATATGCATTGGATGAGTTATTGAAGTTCACTGTCTGGTCAGCAACAGGATTATTATGAAATTCATTATTAATAATACATTGTAAATATTATGACTAGTAGAAAGGATAGACATATTGTCCTGTCAGAGTTGTGGGAGAGTATGTACACTCTTCCTGAAGACATTTTCTGACCTGAAAACCAAAGATACTCAGTCGAATCTCAGTCACATCATGTTCATTCTGATGTCATATGTATATGAAGATTCCTCCCTAGGGAAGTAAGTAAAAAAAAATCCCAAACAAATCACTGCTGAAGTTAATGACTATGACATAGGATAATTTTAGAGCTTTTTAGCAAAAATTACAAGCTTCACACTAACCTGGTGCACTAACCTAGTGCAAATATTCATTATTTATCTAGAGCCACCTGCCTTAGTGAAAGATTTTAAGATGAATTAAAAAAAAAGAAAAGAATTTTAAACCACACACTGGATATAGAAATGAGGCTTGGAGCTGTAAGGAGATAAAAATAGGATACCGCCAAGGTCCTCAAAATTGTCTAAAGGAGAAACTCGGTAAGAGTATTTATCTGATATGGATACTTCATCCCTTACCTCCTGTAAGTGACGATATTCACTTACATTATCTGCTACTTAAACCTGCAGATAATTTTAACCTTCATGGACTCAGAAATAGTTGAATCTGTATAGCTACAATTTTAACAAAAAGCAGTATTCCATGAATCTCTCTTCTTTCAAGCAGTTTGGCACAATGTGACTGTTTCAATATGTAGGAGTCATGACATGATCCAGAAAGTTCTTTAAAACTTAGTGCTTTACTTGGTGGTTTGCATGGTATAATTCAGGGCATTATAGCAGGCTAAGAGAAGAAGTTCTTTACGGGACTGCTGTGCTCACTAGATGCTAGAGGGATACAGCCGTGGTGTTTTTTTCCCCCAAATATGTTTGGAAAAGAATCTGAGTAATTGCGCCATTATTCCAGTTGTTACTGGCTACTGGAGTTTAAAATACAATTCAGTGTTTAAATAAGTATTCTCTCTGGCTGCTGTGCACCATCTGGAAAGATTTGGATTTTGGGAATGGCTCAGTGACAAACCCAGCAAGATCTTTTCCTTGGGATCATTTATGAAGGTTAGAAAGCTATGTTCACACCCAGAGAACAACATAGTTCAACACATGTAGAAAATAAACAGACCCTCCAGCTTCAGCCCAGTCCCATGACCTCTGCGTACAGAGCTTAACCTTCCAAAAGGCATTCAACTTTGTTGGGTCACTGGAGGAGGGGTGAAGATGTCTTGCTCACTGGAAAATGCCACTGTGACCAAAGAAGTCTTTTGTGAGACAATATCCTGATGCAAGCATTTACCTTTCTGTGATATACCTATGTTATTTCATGCCAAAGATCAAGAAATAACACTCCTTTTGGGGAAACTACTATCATCCATCAAGTGCTACTTGTTCTATCACTTTTGATAGAGAGTTATAGTACCATACTTCAGAGATTTAAAGTGTGATGAAGTGTGTCAAGCAGCATACCCTGTGATTAAAAAAAAAAAACCAAAGCATTAGTTAAAAATAACAAAACCATTTAAATTAGGAACTGTAAGCACTTTAATTTGCAATGCAAAATATATTTTTTGTGTAACATGGAACAGTCACGCATACCTGAGATGCAATGCAAAGGACTATAAGATATCAATGTAATTTTTACCACTGGAGACCTGGGTTGAAATTCCCACTAGGGGATAGCTTTATAGATCTCATTTTAGTATATTGTACTCATGCCATTATAAAACCATCAAATGCAATTTGGCACAGCATGATACTTAAATGGTGGCCTGAAATTAACAGACTGAATTACCTTCTACAGCCAGCCAAGGTTATTTATAAATTGGAATTCAGATAAGTAAGTGAAGTGCCTTACTGAACTCTGTACTTTTATATTCCCAATCTCCGTCTTCTGTGCTTTGAAATACTTTTTGCAGATATCCTTTAGTTGAACTTCCAGAATATTTAGCCACTTAAAATGGGGGCAAAACTGAAGGCAGGATGCTGTATTAGGTACTTGCAAGAGATAGTGCTTTTATATTTGTAAACTATCCTGTAAACAGTTTTAATTAAAAGAGCTACATCATGGCATCTGTGAGGTTGAGTGCAATTAGTTGCTTTAAACTCCATTTTCTCCTCCCGCCGCCAATTAAGTAAAAC